TATATATTTATATTTTATATAAAATCCAGGAGAAAATGATTATTGGGAGGGGAAAAATAATCACTTTATTGCCAAAAAACTGCATAATGGAAATTATCCACCCAATTAAAGACGACATTAATGATGAAATAAATTAAATTAAAGGCGCTTGCCTGGAGAAAGAACAGATTCTGGTTCTGCTTCAAATTTGGTTCCTTTTTGACCCAAAGTTGCCGGTTGGAGTCCGTGCTGAGGCTCTGGGTATCTGTGTGCAGGTGGAGCCGATTCTGGACCGGAGCCCAGGTGCAGCTGGTTCTGTTTGTAGGCTTTGTCTTGTGATGCAGGTGAAGCCAGGTTCTGGTACTTCTCGTTTGGGCCCAGGTAGTGAACGCCAGCGGTGGGACTGGAAGCAGCAGCCTGTTGCTGAGTCGGCAGGACTCGGCCTTTCAGGCCGTTTCCGCCCGATGAAGCTGCTCCTCTTACAGATTGACCTTTTCCAGGCACCGACCCGAAACCTGGAAACCAGAAATAAGCGACAGAGCCACTTTACTGATGATATTTGACATGAATAAGGGGTGACATGGTGGCCTTCCCGCCGTCAAATCTAATAAAATTGGTGTCAAACGTTTGTTGTGTTTGTGCAGCAAAAAGTTTAAAAGATTACTAAATGTTCCAAGAGATCATGAAAGGTCAATCAGCCGCCGCACGCTCTTCAAATCAAACAAAATAGATGTCAATCAACTATTTGTGCTGCTTTTGTTTTCAAGATATTAATGAAAGTTTAAAGGTCAAAAGGTCAACCTGGCCCCTCCCGCCTTACCCAAATAAAAAACAGATTGGCGTCAAATGTTTGCTGTTTGTGCAGCAATAATTTTTATTTGTGCTGCTTTTGTTCCAGAAAACATTTAAGCATTTATTAATATATTTAAAACAATAGTGGCACAAAAAAAAGTTGCTGCACAAACGTTTGACACCAATTTTGTTCTATACGAAGACAGTAGTGGGAATGCAGCAGAATAATTCTAGCTGTCCAATGACTCCATTTTTTTTTTGTTTTTACCTGAATTACCTCATTTGCTATTGGCTAAAGCAGACGTACCCTCAGGTTGGTGTTCGTAACCCCCCAGCGCAGCAACACGTCCAACTCCAAGGCCTCATGGGAGAGAAATTAACACACAGTAAGGTTAAAAATCTAAATTTTGGAGAAGTCAAAAATTATTTTACAAAAAAAGAGGTAAACTGTGAAGATCCTTAGGGGGCATTGCTTCCCTTCCAGAATGCGATGTTTTTAGGACTCTGTCATTGTAAATCCAGTAGCAGTAAAATCAGCTGACTAAACCTTCTTGAGTTCCACTACGGTTGCTGGGCAACTGGCTGGGCTTGGCTGAGGTTGCTAGGCAACGGTGCAGTGCCCGTCCACTGTGACTCAACATTTGGGAGGTTTTTGAAACAGCTCATTTTCCAGACAACAAAAAACATTAATTTACTGCCAAAAAAATTGGCAATAATTTTTTATTGCCAATAAAAAAAAATTTTTGGCAATATTTTTTTGAATTATTTTTGATATTTAAAAATTTGCAAAAATAATGTTTTTTGGGGTTTTTTGCAACAGAATGTTTTTAGAACCAATTAAGACCCAAATGGAAGTGTAAACATTTTAAAAAATTTATTTTTGGTGGTAATTACCATTCATCTGAGCACCAAATCCTTTCACAGCTCCATAACCTTTAATTAAACACACATAGTTAGCAAATGTTCAACACTGTAAACCAGGAATGTTTAGGTCTCAATCGGATTAAAACAGAATCTGGTACCTTTATGGTTGGATCCAAACCCATTGGGAGTTGCTCCATTTGAATACCCTAAAGATCAAACGCATTAATAAAGCATCACCCAAAATAGTTTAACTTTTAACTTTTATTAAATGTCTGAAACATGAGTTACCTAGTTGGGGTCCTAAAGCAGCTCCTGTGGTACTTCCATATCCTTCAATTAACAAATGAAATCAAATTACAGTACGATTGATAAAAAAAAGACAACTTTGCTCAATAGTTAATAGATATTAATTCTCTTCTAAGCACTTTATAAATCATTAATGACTGTTTATTATACATTAATTAAGAGTGAGAAGGCCTATATATTATATCTAGAGTTGTTATATTTAGCATTTCAGGCTACCTTGTAAGCACAATAAGCATTTGTAAATGTAATTTTTTAGCATATAGTCTCCTTCTTACCCTTATTTAATGCATAATAAACAGATTGTGATTTATAAAGTGTTTATAGATGAATTAATAACGTATCTCTAAACTATTTATTAGCCATCTATAAGGTGAGTCTTACTGTAAAGTGGTACCAAACAATCTATTTGCACATAGATTTTATTTTGGTAAGATTTGGTAATATAATCTAAAACAGGAAAGGTTTATTATGTTCTAATGTCAGGCACTGAGGAATTAAAAAAATCTGTTATACATTATTTTATAGTTTGTGACAATATCTTCTTTCAAGTGGATATTATTGTGATATATAAGGAATGTTGTTACGATTAGGTAACAAAATCCTTTAAAAAAGGAAAATATAAATAATCATGAGTGAAACACATGAAGAATGAAAATGAGTCAAATAAAAATGATGGAAGAAATCCTTAATTTGCAGCTGTACTGCTTCTTTGTATAAATAAAAACTGTGGCTGAATAATCACCTGCTTTAGCAGCCTTGGCAGCTCCAGTCCTTGAATTTCCAAACCCTAAATAGTTACAAACCAACAATAAGTATGATTAAATTCACCTTGTATATCTAATAATACTAATAATAAAGTAACTGACCATTTGGTGATCTGACTCCAGCACGACCTTTTACAAGATCACAATTCAAGTGTTGAAAATGTGTCACTGTTTGTAATTGTTTTGCTATATATTTAAGTATAAACGATATTTACCATTGGATTGTGAACCTTGTCCATTGGATACACCAGCTGAAGCACTGTAACCTAAAATATTAACATTATTAAACTGTGTTGTTCAGAAAAACATGGAAACAGTAAAAAAAATAAAAAAATAAAAAAAACAGTTTTTGCTCAACAGAATCAACAACCTTTCATTGGTCCCTTTACGCCATTTCCATACAGAGATCCCAGACCCAAACCAGCTGCGCCATAACCTCCACTGAAACCTTTAAACACATTTTATACACAAGAAGTACCTTAATAAATGACTTATACTCCTTGTTTTCCACATATTGTCATGCATTTCATTGGGATTTTAGGTGAAGGATCAATATGCACCTTTAGTTGGACGAGTTCTGTAACCATTACCACCATACACTGCAAAAAAAAAAAAAAAAAGTTTTTATAAGTGTGTTATTTTGGTTGACTCCTGCGACAGACTGGTGACCTGTCCAGGGTGTAAATAAAATGGATGGATGGATTTTGGTTGACTCAGCACTTAGTAATAAACTACTCACCATTCCCTTGGTCTCTGGCAGGATGGGGGCCTCTGATCTGTCCCATTCCCACAGCTGGGCAGAGGAGCATATTGAAAGGTTTAGTGAAAGAGCTTTGAGTTCTTGGACAAAGAATTAGACAACATTACCTGGACTATAATGAGGTCGGCCATATCCCTTCAGGTGGTTCCCTCCATGTCCCTGACCTGTGAAACAAGGGTCAAAGATGAAGGTAAACACATAGCAGACAAAAAACCCAACTGGGACTACAACTGAGCTAAAGATTAATCAACTGTTCTGATGATTAATCGGATAAACAAATTGGCACATTCTTCTGAATGTTCATTTAAGCCTTCGCTAAATATTGGAAATAAATCAAAACATGTAAAGAATTCCATTTATAAATAAGAAAAAAAGCATTTTTACTTACTAACACGCTTTTAGTGTAGGCTTCATCATTTGTAGCAAAGGATACAAAAAACATAATCCTAATATCAATATGTTTGAAGTGAAGTGTAGGGCTGATCTAGTGATTACTTTTAGATTAACCAATTAATGATTGGATAACAATAGGTGCTTTTTTTTTATTTTTTACAGAGTTTGGACCTGGTAACGCTAAAACTAGCAAAAAGGTTGTTTTTTTTTTTATCTTAAATGCAAAACGTATAAATTCTTGTAGAGCTTTGGCTCAATTACTCCACTAAATGTGTTGTTCTTTCAGAAAATTACCTTTTTTGAGTCTGAATTTGAGTCAGTAATGGTTAATCAAGTACTAAATTAATTATGTTAATAATCGATTAATCACAATTAATCATTTCAGCAACACAAAAACATGTTTCTGACTATATTTTATGTTTTTTTCTTACCATTTGGCCTTGCTCCGTTGCTACTGGACGCTCCAGCTACAAGTCTTTGACCTGAGGAATGATTGGTGTATTTAACATTTAACAGTATTTATATTTAACTTCCAAACTGTCTTAAACTTTATTTTGGAGTTATATCTAAGCTCAGCGCTATCTGAAATACCGTTTTCTTTAGTGCCTTGTCCTCCATATCCACCAGCTTGAGCCCCGTAACCTGAAACAGTCGCATTCTTCAATGTAAGAGGACATTTTGGTGCTTTTTATTATTACAAAAACATTTAAATACAATCAAATACATATTTCATACCATTGCCTTTATCTCCTTGCCCACCGTACGCTGCAGCATGAGCACCATAACCTGTAAAATAAATATTTCCAACTATATAAAAATGCCAACCAATCATGTCCAAACCCCAACCAAGAAAAGGAAACTGGGAGCTGAAATAAATATTAATTTCAGCCAAAACTGCCAGATAAAAATATAACACACACAAAAAAAACAGGTTTAAAAATGTTAAATTTATTCAGAGCAATTAAACTAAAATGTAACTTTTTGGTCTCAATCATAAATGGTAGATTTACCATTTACCAACCCAACTTAACCATTGACATGGAAGGTTTATGCTTTGGAACCATGAATTATCTGAAAATATTGGAGAATTTGCTCATTAACTTGGAAGCTGAACTAAGGGATGGGATGGACGTTTCAAGAAAACAATGATCCAAATTACTTCAAATAAATTAGGAAAAAGTTTCTGTGGAGTTTCTCGGTCTCCTGACCTCCATGTCACTGAACGTTTCTGTTCGTATCATGATTTAAAAGAGCAAACGAAAGTAAATATGAGTGGAAGAAAGAAAGTTGTTCTCAGTTAAATAGGCAAAAAAAAAGAATTGTGCCAAAATTATGTGTCTACTCTGAATAAATCTTGGTTTATGCATAAACACAAGTTGAAATACCGTAGCCTTTGGTTGCTTGTCCTAAATATCTACCAGCTGGAGCCTCATAGCCTGCAACATGAGTAACAACTAATTAAAGAGAGGTTTCTTAATGGCTCTGTGTGAATTTAATAAGTTATACAACCTTTGATTTGTTGTAGAGTGGTTGGTCCAGATATAACTCCATACCCTGGAATAAGCACACAATGATTTTAATGTCTGAATCCAGTCAAAACAATAAAAAAGTTGAAATATGTATTCAATAATTGTTTCTCTTATAGTAGAAACAAATGAAACAGAGGATGACATTAAATATTTGTTCCTTGGTAAGCAAAAAAAACTACCACAGGATAAATGGCTTTACTGTTTGGAATAACAAATTTAATCTGCAGCATCCATAGAAGTAAAACTAAAGTAAAGTTGTCCTAACACAAGTCTAACGTCATCTCAACTGGCCCGATTTAAAAAACAAAACAAAACACAGAAATCCTATAACAGGAAGTACTTTTACAAAAGTAATTTTGCTTGAAATATTCATCTCTGCTGGTACTTTCAACCTCTTGCATTCAAAATTGTTAAAGCCCAAATATACTTTAACACTTTCCTAACTCATATTTAGTTATCTGTAGTTAAAGTGTTTGCTTTACCGTTGCCTTTACTTCCAAATCCACTTTGTGAAGCAGCTGCAGCACCGTTACCTAAAACAGACAAGGCCGCAGCTTCTCATCACTCATGACTGTTATAAACACTGGTGTCCATTTTTGCAAACCCAACATCTAACCAACTTTCCAAAAATACCGTTGCCTTTAGATGCTTGTCTGCCATATCCACCGGCTTGAGCACCAAAACCTGAGATTTAAAACATTTAAATCAATGTTTTTCTGTTAAAAAGTGACTTTGTTAAAGCGAGTCGCACCACCTTTCATTTTTTGTAGATTTGCTGGTCCGGCTTTTGCTCCGTATCCTGCAAAAACAATAAGAGAATAATGAAAACTAAACGAATTATTTCCACAAGAAAGAGACACAATCTGTATTTACCATTAGCGGCTCCAGTTCTTCCTCCTGGAGTGAAAACAAATCCAAATAAAACAAAAAAAGCAGTGCTTCTCATTGGAATTATACAATAGCAACATAATTTAATCTATAGTTTAGTCATTTCCATGAACGATTCTAGAGCTTCTTTAGCAAACCACAAAACTGCTGAAACACTAAATTGCTTTAAATCAAGGCTGAAAACTCACCTGTTGATTAGCTGTAAGTAAAACATTGAACAGATGTAATGTTTATTTCTCATTTCATAATTTGTGATTGTATGATGTAAAGCACTTTGAACTGCCTTGTTGCTGAAATGTATATAAAAATAAATTTGAATTTGATTTAAAGAAGGTAGCACAGCAGGTTTGTTTCACTAAGGTCGTATTTTTACATTTTAAGAAATGAAACAGCCTTATTTGTAAAAAAATAATGGATAAAGTTGTCATAACTAGTCAGTCCAAGTCTTGGATCGAACTTTCAAATCGTTTATTGGTGGATATCAACAATTAATTAGTTTTTTGTTTTAAATATCTAAAATACTGCCAAACTACAGGTGTGGCCTTTCCCGTGTTATCCAGTTTTCACTTTGCACCGTAGCGAAATCTTAAACTGCTACTACACCAGTTACTCAACAGGTTGTTGCTAGGTAACCGAAGAATGAGTGAGTTGCTAGGCAACCAAAGAATGAGTGAGCGAGTCGATTTAACCAACTTTGCTTACAGAATGAAGAGGAAAAACTTACCATTTATTCCAACTCCTTTGTTCATCCCAGCTCCATAATCTTTTAATTAAAAGAATTAAATATGTGGTGAGACGTTTCATGCTAAAGTTAGCAAGAGAAATAAATTACAATTATTATATTTTTGTCTATACTTTTTCGGGTTTAAACTTCAAATAAAATATGAGCATTTCAACCTGCAGTGCTATTTAGTTTTCACACTGACCCATTCCTTTGTCCTAATGACCGACCAAAAAAATATATAAAAGAAATGTCTTAAATAAGTGAAAAATATGAGTTTGAAGCTGAATCAAGTGGTTTTGCTTTACCTTTCGATGGGATCAGGAATGATGCCGCCCTGCCGCCGTTCTGAGGCGCATTTCCTGGGAGAGTTAGGAATCATAATTAACTGAATAAAAGCTGTGATCTGTTCAAAAACAAATCAAAAGAAGAGATTATCTATTTTAACACCAAAGAGTCTGAAGGGATCAGCAATAGGTCGGTACTATAACCTTCAACATCACAAAATAAATCTGGTAAAATCTGAGATGTAATAAAATTTACAAGGCTGATGTAGTGAAGGTAGATGAAGATGGATGGATAAAAATGTTTGAGAATGTACCTAAAGTATAAAAATTTATGATTTCTAGAGATGAACAAACACTTATATTTTATTCACTTTTCAGTCATTTGGAACGTCGATGTGCTTTGATGTGTTGACAAAAAAGCTACATTTTCCTCTCACATTTTATTTAATTTCATTTATTTTATTTGGGACATTGTGCATTAATAACAATTTTGAAAATCATCAATAAAAATTACAGCCAAAGTTGATTTCCATTGTTTGTCCTCAAACTAAATATTACAGGTTGAGTGACATAAAATTAATACACGTAAAAATAAAAATACAAATATTTTGGATTGATTTTTAGTATAAAGTTTTAATAAATTTTCACTGTGATACAAAAAAGTCCTTTCTCACCAATATTTTTGAATTATTCTGTTAAAAATCTATTATTTTAACTCTTTATTCTAGCAAACATTCATTATCTCTTTAAGTAATTTTATATTTTCCTTGGAGAATATATAATTGGAGAAATTATGTACAACAATTTCTCCAATTTAAAATGTTTCGTACTGAAGTGTCCAAAACCGACAAAACAATCTGGAAATGTGATTCTGGAAAAGCACCAACTATCTGCAAGAACCCAGAGTAACTGCAATAATGCTGGTGAGGATCTTTCTCTGTAAAAATTACATGTTATTTTATCTGTTTGTGCTTTTAAAATAACAGGATTTTCAGTTAAAGGCCTGAATTTACATCTCCAGTTTGTGATTAAAAACTAAATCTTAAAAGTTTCCCTTTTAAGGAATTTGCTGATTAGTGAAAAATGAAACTTAATTTATGTATGGACTCATTTCTTTGTCAAAGATTTTAAGGAATCCTTGAAAGTATTGGAGAGACTGTCTAAGCACAGTAAAACCGTCCTGCTCTCACAAACAGATGCTACATTTAGACGGCTGCTGCCACTGAAAACTGCCTCTGATTGCACAAACCAAACCCAGATCAGAGCCACAGAGGGAAGATTTATGGCCGCTCCTCATCTAACGCCGGAACCGTAGAGAGGTTGGTCATTTGCACATCGTCGTTCTCAGATTTCAATTTCGCACGACTGTTTGAAATTTGACAGACAAACTCGACCAGCTCACTGCAAAAACACAAAATCTTACCAAGTATTTTTGTCTAGTTTCTAATGCAAATAACTTAGAAAACTTGAGTTAAGACAAAACTAAAAGTAACTTTTCAGAAAGAAATAAAGCTTGTTTTAAGTCAATAAGTCCTTAAGACTGATTTAAAAAAAATATTACTAGTTCCATTGGCAGATAATTTCACCAAGACAATTTTCCCGTGTTATAAGTGAAATAATGTGATAAGTCAGAATTCTCAAAAAAATGTCAGAATTCTGCAAAAAGTTAATTATGCTAATAAAGACAGAATTTTACTAAAAATTCCGAATTCTACAAAAAAATTCTGAATTCTGCAAAAGTCAGAATTTTACCAAATACAGTCAGAGTTATGAGGAAAAGTCAGAATTCTACAACAAAATTCTACGAAAAAGTCTTAATTTTATCAAAAAGGCAGAATTCTGTAAAATGTTAATTATGCGAATAAAGTCAGAATTCTACAAAAAAAGTCTGAATTCTAACAAAAAAAAGTGATTCTTTACTTTTTGTGGTTCTAATCATCTTCCATATCCTGCTTTGTTTTACTGGGATTTTATTTGACAAACCAACACAAAGTCCAACAGAACCATCAACTCCATCAGCTCCAACCTCATAACTCACTCTGAGGATTTCACCTTCCCGCCACAGCGGAGCAGACGTGTAAAAACATGTGCGGACACATTTCACCCTCAGACTATAATCCATTCAGCTGGAAATTTCCCAGTTACTTTGACAGGCTGGTAAAAATCTGACCCAGTTCCTCTGCTGAACATCTGAGCAAACAGCTTCAGGTTTCGTGGTTATTTCAAAAAACGAACAGCATTGTCAGTAAACTGATAAAACCAGTGAATTTATATACAAAAATGACACCAACTTAAATGCTACAAAAATTTACCATTTAAGTTGGACATTAAATGCTACTTTTACTACAATTTAAGCAATTTAGACAATTTTTTTGTTGTGCAATTTGATTATGAACTAACGGAAGAGTGAATCGGAGGGTAAAGAAAAAAACATCCAAAAACATTAAATCTCTGTTTTAATTCACAAGAAAAACACATAAATGCAACAAAGCATAGTTTTAAATCAATATGTTTACAAATGTGTTAAATTAGAGGGTAGCAAAAGGTTTGAAGACTCAAAAAGCAAAAAGACATTCTTAGAAAACTACCTGTAAAATATCATGAAAGAAAAATTCTCAGAATGAAGAAACTAAAAAATATGTAACTGAATTAAAAGGTTTTTTTAGTCAAAACATTTGGAAATAATCCGCAGAAGACTTAATTTTTTAGAAAAGTGCAATTAAATTGCAGTGTAATTATTGTATATTAATACATAAATTAGAATTTAACTGTAATTCTCAAAAATTAAGTCATAAGCCAAACATGTGAATCTACAAATAAAAACAAAAAAAGTAAATTTCCACAAAATACTGATAATTGATCTAAAATGTTCTTGAAAAAAAATTAAAATTTTTGAACTTCAAAAATTGCTAATTTTCTACTTTGGAAATTCAGAAAAATTCAAAAAGTCAAAAATGTTCATTTTTGAGCTCAGTTGTTTTTTAATAGAAAGATTCTGAAATTAATGTAAAAATGTATTAGTTTATTTCCTTGCAAATTTTTAACTTTTGGAGCTCAGAAATGTCCTTGTTTTTTTATAGAAAATTTCTGAAATCAATCTGAAACTTTTTGAGTGTTTTAGTGGAAACTTTTTCGACCTACAATGGCTCTACTAAACCGTTGTAGATTTTAACATTTTGATGCTGAAACCTAAATTTCCCCATTGAGAAACAAAAAATATTTCTATTCTACTGTCTGGCTAGTTGATAAAAGCAGATTTTCATATGTGCAGAAACTCACCGCCTGTGTGTGCCGCCTGCACCAAACAAAGAACCAGAACTCCCTGAAGGACAAGCCGACCCGCCATGTTGGACCTGGAAAGAAAACCCGGGTTTAGACCCCAGCAGGAGAGGAAAGGTGGAGGAGAAGTGGGAGAGGTTCCCGGGTCGGTAGGGGCTAATATTCAGTCCGGGGAGCCCGTCCTCTCCAGATCCTCCCCTGCTTGTTGTGAGATGCACCCAAGGAGAACAAACATTGGATAATTACACTACTTCAAATCCATCACCGCTTCACTGAAGAACTGGGGGTTGGCTGTTTGCTGTATTAGTTTGAAAGAATTACATGTAAATAAAAGGTCTTTGAAAACCTGTGTAAAACTTGCTGGTGAATGTTATGAATCATATTTGTTTCATTTTTACAGTACCGTAAATGTGTTCTGTAAATGTTCATAATGTTTGCATTTTGAGTTGGGTAGTATAAGAATTACTACCCAACACTCTCAATCCCAGTTAAATTACATTTACTTTAACATTTTTGAAATGTAGGAGTATTTTTACTGCACTGTACTTTTTACTTTTACTTAAGTAATTTAATTATGAAGTATAGCTCCTCTTACTTGAGTAAAATTTCTGGTTTCTCTACCCACTAATTCACCAGACACAGATCTGCAGTTTGTGTTAAAGGTTCATAAGTTCCAAATTAAAAGAAACTGAAAATTTTTCTTTTGCCTGATTTTGTTATATTTTAACTTATATGAATAATTGTCATTTTTGTCCTTAAAATACCAAAATTTCCACTTAACTTTAGATTTTGGTCCATTTGATGATGCCATTTTTAAATATTAAATGATAATTTGATCAGTTACTCAGTATTGAGTAGACTTTTTGCCAAACACTTTTTACAAGAGTAATTTCTTGGACGACAACTTTTTACTTTTGAGTGCAAAGACTTACTACTTGAGTACAAATTTTAGGTTCTCTACTCACATCTGATGTTGGGGAATAACATTTCTTTTAAGATTTACATCGGAAGTGCAGCAAACATTATGCAATGTTAAAATACCAGCTAATATTAGCTCTATAGCAATGATATCTTGCTAGCGGACAAAATACCAGCTAGCAGTAATATTCTATTCACAAAATACAATAATAGGTTCATCTTACTTGTGAAGTTATCCACCGAACCCTCACGTCAATAGTCCGTCGATTTTAACACAAATATCCCGCAGTACTGGGGCATCTTCTGCTGGTAGTTTAGCTAAGGGCAGGACGACTGCTCCAAGATGGCGGCCGTATTTCCTGCGGCCGTTGACAACGTCGATAAACTGTTTGCATTAGTTCTTACAAACATAATCTAAAGCTTTACTTTCAGTGAGCGAACATCACTTTTAATTTATTTGGAGTCACAGGCGCTAAATATAACGTTGATTTTAGACAAACTTACAAGTTTATCATAAAAAACATTTCCACCAAATCTTTAGTACTGTGACAGCGAGAAGCGGCCATGTTGAAACTGAAGTCAGCCTTACAAGTTATAGTCAGAGTTTCTCCCAGTAGAAATCAGATTTTAGAGGTCGAGTTTCTGACTGGGAACTTCCAGTTCTGAATACAACTGGAAGGCAGCATAAAAATACATCCACCGCTCGCAATTTTATCTTAGTCAGCCAAACTTATGCCGTACTTCTAACCATATTTATTGATTATAAAGCTCCTACATGTTGCCAAAAAGTCATTTTTAAGTAAGGTGTGTATCATTTCAAGTGTACTTATATTTTTGTGCAAGAAACTAGACCCAAAATACTTAAAATACTTGACATTAGCTTATGCATAAATGCAAAGAATAAAACCAAACATTGTCTACAACACCCTGATGTTGACTATATATTAAATATGTTTTAAAAGTTGAAAATTTCCCAGTAAACTAATCAGTTTAAATGGATGTTAACATTTCTAATAAGAGGAGTGGTCAAAAATCCCGTCAGAATTACGAGACCTCATCTATGAGTACAAAAACCATCTTTCACTGCAAATTGCTGAGGGACATTTAGCCAAATATTAACTATATTTTAGCCTTTACATACAATTTTGACCCAGAGAAAACCCACAATATTCTAAAATGCTTGCAGCCAATCGCCATTCATCATATTGCCCTTGATAAAAACTTAATTGTAGCTTATGTAATCTTATCCCAAATGTACTTTTCTAGTTTCCTGGAGCAGCTAGCTGTGCTATAAGGCTAATGTTAGCTTACAAATTAATTCAAATCTCATGCTTGATACATTTGTACACATTTGAGAAATATTTTCTATACTGGACTTGAAGTTGAGTTAAATACCATTGATATTGATATGTATAGATCCAGTATTAGTAATTTGATAAATAGATCCTTGAAAACCAGTTATGTAGCAAATATGTCGAGCTGAACATGCATCCTATCGGAACCCAATAAAGTCTAAATTTATGGATTTTTGTCACCAAAACATGATAGTGCTGTATGAAACCAGATAGAACGAGGCATTCATTTCAGACTGTAAGTTTTCTGTGGCGCTGTCTGAGTTTTCCTTTGGTGCATTTAAAGCAAAAAGTGGGTAAAAAGAGAAAGATGTCTCACCTTTCACATAGATTCCTCACCTGAAGTCCAAATCCTGTTCTTATGAGGTCAAGCAGGGGTCAATGTCTCACTTCCCTGTCCAACTGGACCTCTCACTTACTTGGCATCTAAACAGACCCGACCATCTGGCTACAAATACAAGTTTCAATTCCTGATTATGCCGCTTCAGATCCCTCTGCCTGGTCAGTTTGTAAGAAAGCAGTTGGTTGAATGTAAGGAACGTTTGAGCTAATAAACTTGTATGGACATGAAGTGGTACAAATATTACATTTATTGATTTGATGGTAAACCTGGACATACTTCACTGTAATACAAACTTTAAGATGCGATTTCAAACCTTCAGTTGAGCAAGGTTTCATTTTTATTTCATTTTGTATTAATCTGTCCTCAATATTCTACACACAAATTCACCATTAAGCAGTTTGAGATTTTTGCTTATTTATAAAAATAGCATCTTCCATTTCCAAGTTGGAGATGCCACTTTTACCCAGACTCAATTTAACAGACTCAATTTTATCAGGAACTAGTTTTAGGTCAATAATTCCTTAATATTGATTAATAAAAGTACTAGTTCCACTGACACGTTTGAACATTTTTCATGTTGGGTGAAAAACAAATCTGCTAGTGGAACTGGTGATTTTTCATCAATATTAAGGAATCATTGACCTAAAACAAGCTTCTAAGTTTTATTTCAAGTGTACCAAGATATTTGCACAAGAAACTACCCATAAATACTTAAGATTTTGTGAATATGCAGTGAAGTCTTTAGTCTCAGAGAAAAATGTGAAATATTTTTCCCTCTAGGTCTCAGTTCTCATTCAAGCAACCAAATTCCATTCCAGAAACCCAAAATTAACCTAAATTGGCATCAAGCTCATCCATCATATCAGTTTTACTGAATGGTTGAGATGGTGGTTAATATCTTTATTTCCATGCATTTTAAGGATAAAATCTCATCCCCATTGAAATGATTGGGCCTGTTGTAACTAAAAATATTACATTTAAAACTAGTTTTCTTGCATTTTTAAAGGTAGAGCCTTTCATTATTTTGGAGCTCATTGTAAAGTTAAAAATCACAGGATTACAGCCCCAAAATATGGTTGTAAGGGAGTCAATGGATCCAAACTGGAACTAAAATAAGGACAAAAAAAGGTAAATTAATCTTGACCAAGTCTCAGATTTAACCCTTAAACAGACAATTAAAAAACAAACATTTTGGGCCAACATAGACCCGTTTCCATTTCACTTGATGCAGTAACGCATGCAGGGAATAAATAAAATGCATTTCATGTTCTCTTGATCAAATTTGAGAATTTTTTTATTCATATTGCAAGTGCTCTACATGTGTGCAATTTAAATTATTCCCATTTCCAAATTAATACAATAAATATATATATTTTTTACAGATGAAACTTAAGAGAAAATTGTGTCAAAGAAATCCATTTAGCATCTTTACACATGCATACACAACATTTTTTTACTAAATAATTTTACAAAACTGGATTACCTAAAGTTGGGTTGACAAGTTCCTGCAATGGTTAATATAGTTAACAATTCCAGTATTCTAAATTATGAAACTCATCATAAATTGATCATTCTGATAATGTTAGAAACGTTAAAAGAAATGGGTTTAAGCTGCTTTGTGGAGGCTAAAGGGAGGAAAAGCAAACAAAGCAAATAAAAAAGGGAAACAGTTTAAGAAGCAAAATGTGATGGAGAAGTGAAGGGGAGGATTTTAAACAAAAAAAAAAGTATATTACACAACTTCTGTTATACTTGGTTCTAAAGACTCAGCTTCCTCCATCTTGGGTCCAACAAACCTGGACTTTAACTTAGCAGGTTTCCTTAAGATGGCAGAGCCAGGTAGCTGGTTGCAGACCTAAACAGAGAAGTTTGGAAATTAAAAAGCATTTATTTGCATGCATTTAAAGTGAAAATCTGTTGGTATATTTAAGAAGACTTACTCCAAGTTGCTTTTCAGCTGATGTACGGTTCGCTTGTCGAGGTACCTGCAGAAGAGCGTCAGCAGGTTTGACGGGAGGAGGAGCGGCTCCACCAGCGAACACTGGGTCAACTGTCCCGCTACCTGGAAAATCATGTCAGTCCTAAAAAAAAATGAGTAAAAACAGGGCTGAGAAAATGTCATAACATGCTAGACAACTCTGATTTAGAGGAATTAAACTTTGTTTTCCCCACCAGGTCTCAAAGTCGCCAATGCTGGGCTCAAGAGGAACGCCTGAAGAAAGAAGTTTCTCTCCGTGGGAAAGAAGAGCGTACAGCAAGCTGAGTCCAAACTGAACCAACAAAAATTAATCAAAAACAAATCAGTTCCAGATGCAGAGCAACACAAACTGGAAAGGACCAATAATGCGTCCAAAAGCATTTAAACAGTTGTTTTATGGTTACTTATTTAACTAATATTTGAAGTAAATTATATGACTGGGTATTTGAGTCACTGTAAACAGTTAAAAAAAAAAAACACCATGATTTTTTTTTCTGGAACGTTTGTGATGAATTTCAAAATTTGAGCTTGAAAAGTAAAATTTGCTAGAAAAAAAGCCTCAAAGTTTGAAATTAATCTCAAACTTTCTAGAAAAATAAAAATCTGAAAATTTGATTTTGAAAAGTAGCATAAGAAACTCAAATTGAAATTCAAAAGTTTTCCAAAAATAAAAATATAGAAAATCTGAGCTTCAATAATTTAACATTTTCAAATAAAAATAGTTCTTGCTGAAAAAAAGGGGAGGCAAAACAAAAAAAAAAAAAGTGGGATTTTTTGCGATCTCAAATTTTTTAGTTTCAAAAGTTGAAAATTTGCCAGAAACAAAAATTGAGAGAAAATTTCTAGAACAGGATTTTCTGAGCTCCAAAAGTCAAATTTTCAACTTTTGAAAGACATTTCCATGCTACAAACCTTGTTCTGGCAGGTCAGGGACAGGCACTCGAAGGTCGACAGAGACTCTGAAGACGTCAGGTCTTTGAGAACGTTGATAAGCTGACTGAACGTCAGAACGCCAATCACATTTCGGAGCGACGGGTAAAGAACTGGAAGGTCCTGAAACCACGAGAACTTTTCAAAATACAAAACTTTTGACATCTTCATCGAGTTTAAAGACCAAAATTAGACCTTCAGCTAGTGCCGGGCGTTGCGCCTTAAAAATAAAACTTCATATTTTTTTGCCTGTTTTCTTGTCTGAAAGCTCTTCAGAAAGCGGCTCTTGGCTCAATCATCCCTTCTCAGACTTGTGAAACGGAGAATTAGGGCCCGGCTACAAGAATCTTTGTTTAGCTACATGCAGATTAAAAAAAATGCAATTTTACCAAAAAAAAAAAAAAAAAAAAAAAAAAAAAAAAAAAAAAAAAATTGGGCCCCAGGTTTTTTTAAAAACCACAACAAAAAAA